CAGTTGTGGCTTCCAAAGCGACCCCTTGTCACATGTCACAGAGAAATGGGGGGCTGTCTTTAAGTCTAGGTGGGCAATCCCAAAAGAGGAGTGTGGTCCTGGAGACTGCTCTTCTGGGATAAGATACCAAAAAAGGCATTAGGCACAGGTGGCTTGGAAGGACCCTGACTTCGGGGATGCATTAATTTGGGGGGACAGCATGTGAGATGAGTCTCTGTAGAAGAGGTGTTCTCAACCCTGGTCCAGGATGGGCAGAGAGAGACCTGTAAACCATCCCCACCCCTCCCAAAACTCAAACTCTTTAGCATCCAATTGGAACCAACTCGAAGCTGACCATCCAGTGAGTTTTCTGAAGCTGTAAATCACAAGAGAGGAGATGGCCCATCTTTAACAGAGCACCTGGTGGATTGGAACCACCCGTGAAGCAGTTGCCAAGACAACCAAGTGGTAGCCAAAGCAACTGCCAACCAACACTGCGCCACCAGTGCTCCCGTTTCCACCCCTAGAGTTGTTCAAATTTCTGTTTCTGGGCCAGGACCTGGGCTTTCAACAGAGTGTCCAGTGAGTCCGGGATCCAGAAACCAAACCCAGAGAAGCCACTGTGTGTGCCGGGTCGACTTGACTTCATGGTGATCCTCCAGCAGATTCTGGGGCTGTCCATCTTTGGAGGGAGCTGCCTGGTGCTCGGAACTGCAGACCTTTGGGCTAGCAGCCCACCATGTGACCCACTACCCCATCAGGGCTCCCCAGACACAGCAATGTAGACCTAAAAATATTTGCTGAATAAAATAAACCAGTGAGTCAGTCCAAGCTGTGTGGCCACAGAACTATAGAACAGTGGCCTCTGGGAAATCCTCTCACTTCCATGCTTTTTGTAACAATGAGAAGAAACTCTTATTTAAAAAAAAAAAATCATTGAATAAAGACATGCTTTTACAGGATGTACACAGAGATGGCTAACTTGAGGATGAAGAACTAAGTAAGTATTCTATCAGCTCTGGAAGGTCACGCGTAAGTGAGAGCAGCCTTTTTCATGGCCAATCACATCTCATATACTGAAGAGAAAAGATGGGTAGGCCACCAGCTTGTGTGCCTGTGTGCATATAAGAGTGTGTGTGTGTGTGTGTGTGTGTGTGTGTGTGTGTGTGTGTGGTGTTTCTGTGTATATAAAAGAGAAAGGAAGCTTGTGCAGTTGTTAAGAGGATATGTCTTCAAAACCCTTGTATGTTTTACATTGAATCCATATCAATTCACAAAGCAGTGTTTAAAAGGAAACACTGCAATACAAACCTTCCCAAATCACTAAAGATAGGGAGACTGTCCAAATTCCTTGCTGCGGATGCTGGATTGGAAGCAGCCCCAGAGAGCTCTCTATGTCCCTACCTTGGTGGTGAAACACAAGACAGAGGAGAGAGAGGGTGGAGAGGGCTGGGGTGCGCCAGAATGGAGCTGGACCCTCCGGCAGCGTCCCTCATGGAGGGGCCACATCTCTCTCAGCACAAAAAAAGCAGACAGTGGCTTTCAGTAACCAGAAACCCAGCTGACACCAGAGCACCAGAGACATGAAAGATAACGGGGTATAAATTTAATCTACATTCCGACAGTGATTCATGCGTGAGGGTGGCAAGTGCACAAGAAAAATGAAAAATAAATGGACTTTCCCACCAGCGTTTTTTAGCAATTGAAGCAATTTTCCTGATTGTGGGATTTATACCGATGGTAAGTGGAAGTTGTTCCCCATCACCTTTCTCCCCTGGAACACAGCCAACATGGACCCTCACTAAGGGAGCCCGTCTACTCCCACAGCCCACAGGGCTCCCCAAAGCACAGCCCAAGACTGCAGATCACCCACCGCCACACCTCACCCTGGACAGAGCCTGTGGGCACCCAGTAATATGCCGTCCTTTGAGGGTATGACTGTGACAAAGACATTGTCTCACGTTTCCAGATCTTCAATCACCTGGAGTCACCAATGAGAAAGCTGCCAGATTTGTCTCGTGAAGGGCAACAAGACAAGTGATCTGGGCCAAAACAAGGAGGAATCATGGACCGGGCTGCTCCACAGGGAACCAGGAGCCTAGCTCAAACAAGGGGAAAGGACCGAACCCCAGCCAAGGACTTTTTCTAGACACCACCCTTAATATCCACCAAACATTTCCACTTAGCAGAGTGCTCTCACCCCAGAGCCACACCTCCGACTGGCCCTGCTGACCACCTGCTAGTCCCCACAGCAGGGACGAGAGGAGCCAGCTTGAACACGTGGTCTCACCCTCTGCCCCGGGGGTCATTCTCAGTACCCACCTGTCCACCCTGCTGCTCTGACTGGCCTGGCTGGACCACTGGAACAGTGCAGGGACAAATATGAGGGTGCCTGGATACTGTGGAAAGGGTGACAAGCCCAACATGAGGACCCTGCAGTCACCCACCTTCTAGAACCAGCTGTACATCACCCCTGCACCACTGAGGTTTGGAGTCCATTCTTCATCTCATAATCTGTTCTGGGTCACAGGTTCCAGACTACTACTAAAAGCGGCTTCCATCTACCAGGTGCTCGCTGTGTGGCCTGCACTGTCTGGCATTGTGTATAATCTCACGTGTTTCCTCCCCACCATGTCCTCAGAGCACCGCCCCTGCTGCCCCTCCTTGCAACCACCCCCAGACTCCACAGTCCTTGAAGAGTTTATCCCCAGGCTCACTGTCACTCACCACCCTTCTGTCATAATTCTTGGTGGCATCAGTGTCCACACTGCTAATCCTTCCTTCCCCTGACTATTCAAGTCTGCGACTTCTTAATCCACTCACTCTCACAGTCCAGGGGTAGCCTTGTTGACACCAGTAATTGGGACACTTCAAAGACTCATTTTTCCATCATTCCACCAATGGTTCACTGCCTCCAGCACCCTGACGCCAGTGGTTTTGCAATCCTTCAAGAAAGCACGGTCCACTGACGGTCCCCGTCACCGTCCTTCACTCCCCACAAGCCCTCACCTCCCTCATCACCCAGCAACAACTCCCGCTGGCAAGTCCACCTTACTGGTCAACCCTCCACCTTCTTTGTCTCCCCAGGGGACACTGACTGGCCTCACTCCAGATTTCTAATCTGTACTTCAATGCTCATCAGAATCTCCTCCTCTCATGCATCCAGTCTCCCACCCTCCTAGACAAACCTCCCCCCATTCCTCAGTCTCAGCTGGTGGCCTACTCACTAATTTCAGAAAAAAAGCTTTACTTCATAAAGGATTTCATAAAATACCTTCCTTCACCCCCT